ATGTAATGACATATCTTTCCATTTATTTAGGTACTTTAAGTGTCTTCTCATCAATGTTTTGCAACTCCAGTGTAAAGGTCTTACATGTGTGTCACTGAATGGTTCCTAGATATATGGCTGTTTTATGCTACTGTATATATTTTGTTTCATTTTCCAATTATTCGTTGTTAATAAAGAAATGCATATTATCAGCTGGGTGCAGTGGCTCACGCCTGTAATCCCAGCACTTTGGGAGGCTGAGGGGGGCCGATCACCTGAGTTCAGGAGTTTGAAGCTAGCCCGTCCAACATGGAGAAACCCTGTCTCTTCTAAAAACACAAAAAATTAGCCAGGTGTGGTGGCACATGCCTGTAATCCCAGCTACTTGGGAGGATGAGGTAGGAGAATTGCTTGAACCCAGGAGGCAGAGGTTGCAGAGAGCTGAGATCACACCATTGCATTCCAGCCTGGGCAACAAAAAAAAAAAAGAAAAGAAAGAAAGAAAAAGGAAAGAAAGAAAGAAAGAAGGAAAGAAAGAAAGAAGAAATAAAGAAAGAAAGAAAGAAGGAAAGAAAGAAAGAAGAAAGAAAGAAAAAGAAAGAAAAGAAAGAAAGAAAGAAAAAGAAAGAAAGGCATATTATCAATTAACAAATTACTTTTTTGAATCTGCTGATAATCACATGGTTTTTCTCATCTTGCTATGTGGTGAATTATATTGTTAGGTTAAACCTCACATATATACAACCTTTTACATTACTAAATTCTATTTTCTTTGATCTTAACTATTTTTTGCATCCATGTTCACATGGAATACTGATTTTTGATTTTTTTTATTGTACTATTTTGTCAAGTTTTGTACTGGGGTTGATATGGTTTGGATTTGTGTCCCTATCTAAGTCTCATATTCAATTGTAATCTCCAGTGCTGGAGGCAGGTCCTGGTGGGAGATGACTGGATCACAGGGGTGAATCCTTCATGAACGGTTTGGCACTATTCCTTTGGTGCTATTCTTGAGAAAGAGTTCTCACGAGATCTGGTTGCTTAACAGTGTGCCACACTTCCCCCGCCGTTCCTCCCCGCCTCTCTTCCTCCTGCTACAGCCATGTAAGACATACCTGTTTCCCCTCCGTCTTCTCCCATGATTATAAGTTTCCTGAAGCTTCCTCAGAAGCAGAAGTTGCTATGCTTCCTGTACAGCCTGCAGAATCACGAGCCAATTAAACCTTTTTCTCTACATATTACCCAGTCTAGTTATTATTTCTTTATAGCAATGGGAGAATGGACTAATACAGGGGTTATATTGGTCTCATAAAACAAATTCAAAATTGTTTTGTTTTCTAATGTTTAAAAAAAATCTGTGTAGAGTTTAATATCTCTAACCTACACATTTGATATAATTTTCCATTGGAGCTATCAGGAATTGGTGTTTTCTTTTTGGCAACATTTATGATTATCAATTCATTCCTTTAGTGAATATGGAGCTATTTTCATATTTTGTATTCTGCATCATTTTTGACAACTTGTATTTCAAAAGGCACTTGTCCATTTCATCTAAGTTATTGAATTTACTGACATAAAGTTGTTCATAACGTGCACTTATCTCTAGTGTTAATAAACCATAATGTCTTCCTATTATCCACATTAATAATTTGTGTTTCCTCTTTTTAATTGGATCAGTTTTAGTTTCCTAGCCTGGTATAACATCGTAAACGAGATGGCTTGAAACAACAGAAATTTATTCTCTCACAGCTGTGTAGACTAGAAGTCTGAAACCAAGGTTCCCTCTGCAGGCTCTAGAGGTGTCTTCTTTGCCTCTTCCTTACTTCTGGTTGCAGACAATCTTTGGCTTAAAGTTGCATCACTCTAATGTCTGCCTTCGTTTTCACATGGACTTTCTTTTTTTTGAGACGGAGTTTCACTGTTGTCACCCAGACTGGAGTGCAATGGCACAATCTCCGCTCACTGCAACCTCTGCCTTCTGGGTTCAAGCAATTCTCCTGCCTCAGCCTCCCGAGTAGCTGGGACAGGCGCGCACCACCATGCCCAGTTAATTTTTGTATTTTTAGTAGAGACAGGGTTTCACCATGTTGACCAGGATGGTCTTGATCTCTTGACCTCGTGATCCACCCTCTTCGGACTCCCAAAGTGCTGGGATTATAGGCGTGAGCCACCGTGCCCGGCCTTCACATGGACTTTCTATATTTGCAAGGCCTTCTTATGAGGAAACTAGCCATTGAATTTAGGGCCCACCCTACCTAGTATGATTTTATCATAACTAATTACATCTGCAAAGACCCTATTTTGAAATAAGGTCACATCTGAAGTTTCAGGGGAACACAAATTTTGGAGGGATATTATTCAGCCCAGTATATATGTCTTACTAGGTGTTTATCAATCTTATTTCAAAAAGCTCACTTTCAACTTCATTTTGTGTGTTAATTTCCATCGACTTTGAAAAAGTTTTTAGTAACTATCTCTTCAATTACTTGTTCTGTATCATCCTTTCAACCTTCCCTTTCTGAGACTCAATTACAAGGATGGTAGGCCATTTCACTGTCCTTCAAACCTCAGATACTCTATAATTTTACTCCCTTTTCTCTTTGCTTTTCCATGGGTATACTTTGAATTGCTTTGTCTTTATTGATCTTTTCCTTTATGTGTACTCTTACATCATATTCATTTCTAGATTTCTGTGTTTTGCTGTTATTGTTTACATATTTCTGCTGAAATTCTCTATCTCTTCATGTGTGTTTTCCCACTTTGTTTTACTAGATCTTTAGGTATGTTTATCATCACCATTACCCTCTGATAAGGTAAACATCTGGATAATCTCAATTTGCTTCTATTGGCTGATTCCTCTCTGGATCAAACTTTTTTTCTCCTTTGTATGTCTTTTTTTTTTTTAACTGTGTGCTGTAGACTTTTACAAAAAGGACAGTAAGTATGAAAATAAGTAATAGTTACCACCAGAAAACAGCATGCTCCTTTTGTTAGGTTCACAGTATGTATGATACTGAATCAGTCTGATGTACAGTTGAGAGCAGCTGGGCTTTGTTGCAGCTATAGTTAGATTAACTTCCTCCCTCCTTTCAATCACATATATAAAAATGTATTTTATATATATATATGTAGTTATACACACACACACACGCACACACACACACACACACACACACACACACACATATATGAAACTAGGTCTCACTCTGTTGTCCAGACTTGAGTGCAGTGGTGTGATCATAACCCTGGGCTAAGTGATCCTCCTGCCTCAACCTCCCAGGTAGCTGCGACGACGGGCATGCACCATCATGTCCAGATAATTTTTAATTTTTTTTGTAGAGATGTAAGTCTTGCTATGTTGCCCAGGCTCGTCTCTAACTCCTGGCCTCAAGCAATCCTCCTGCCTTGGCATCCCAAAGCACTGGAATTACAGGTATGAGCCACTTCAAATACTGAGTGGCCCTTTCAAATACTGAGTGCATAGACAAGATTTTCTTGTAACAGAAATTGGGACATGAGCACTGGTGAGATTCTAGTGGGGTTTTTTTGTTTGTTTGTTTCATTTTGCCTTTCAGCTGAGCTGCCAGTTTTTGAAAGAACAGATTTTTCTTTGCACTAATCATAGTAGTTTATTTTATAATTTCTGGGGCATTTTCCTTATAATCTATTCATGTCCTTGGCTTTCTGTGCCTCACGTAAACCCTCAGTCATATTATCATGCCCTTTGGAGGACATAGTTCTTAGACCATAATGCCTCAGAATGAGGTCTGTTATTTTTCTTAGCTTCCTAGCAAATGAACACACCTTTTCTAAAATCAGCACACTGGTGGTTTAAAACCAAGGAAGATTTACATCACTAGACTTACAGGGGTACTAATAAGCCACTATCTCCTTTCATTTTGTAGCTAGTCTCTACTGGACAATAAAAGATAAAAGTTATTTTCCTCTTTTACAAATTCATTGAGCAGTTAAAATATATGACATCTTACTACAAATTACAATATAATCTTAGTAACGTGATGAATGAAAATAAAGTTCCTAAAATATCAGATTTTGGGTTTGATTTTCTAAAATCTTATTAAAAGTAGACTAGTTCGGGGTCCTTCTAACTTGATTCCACCACCATTTTTTTTTTTGAGACGGAGTCTCACTCTGCCACCCAGGCTGGAGTGTGCAATGGCACGATCTCAGCTCACTGCAACTTCCTCCTCCTGGGTTCAAGTGATTTGTCCGCCTCAGCGTCCCGAGTAGCTGGGATTACAGGGAAGTGCACCACACCTGACTAATTTTTGTATCTTTGTAGGAACAGAGTTTCACCATGTAGGTCAGGCTGGTTTTGAACTCCTGAGCTCAGGTGATCTGCCCACCTTGGCCTCCCAAAGGATTGGGATTACAGGTATGAACCACCATGCCTGGCTGATTCCACCATCTCTTACGAGCTTGTAATCAATATTCAATTGGTACAAAGAGAAAAATCTGAGAGAAAGCATTATGAATTCTCAAAATCTTAATATAAAAATGCAAATACATCCACTCCACTTTCTAATATTCAGTTTTGTGCCTACATCTAATTGCATGTGAGACTAGCAAATGTAGTCTTGCTGTATACCCAGGACAAAAAGGAAATATATTTTTCACTATTGGTTCACAGTATTTGCCAATTTTGTTAGCTTAAGACATCTTACTTTAAAAGCTAAACATTCAACTCAAAAATGTTGATGGAATTGAAGAGAAATGCCTTATCTGTTCAATCAAGTGACTATATCTGACAATGGAGGCAAGGTATATTTTGAGGGTAAGAACTGTCTTCCATCACTTCAGCATCACGGTTAGGGATGAACACACATTCCAAATCCTCTTTACTTGTAATCCCTCCACAAACCTATAGTAGTCTCCCCTTATCAGTAGGGATATATTCCAAGACTTCCAGTGGATGTATGAAACCACAGATAGTACTAAGCCCTCTATATAGTGTTTTTCCCTATAGATACATACATATGATAAAGTTTAATATACATATATAACTATGATAAAGTTTAATATATATTAGGCATAGTAAGACATGAACAACAATAACTAATAAAACAGAACAATTATAATAAATATGCCAACATACTACTCTTGTGCTTTGGGGCATTAAGTAAAATATGGGTTACCTGAACACAAGCACTGAGATACTGCAACAGTCCATCTGATAAGTCAGATAGCTACAAAGTGACTAATGAATGGGTAGTGTCTACAGTATAGACATGTAGAAAAAAAAGAGACGATTTACATCTTGGGCTGGAGGGCAACAAGATTTCATCACACTACTCTGAAGAGCTTGCAATTTAAAATTTATGAATTGTTTCTTTCTGAAATTATTTTAATATTTTCCGACCATGGTTGACTGCAAACAACTGAAAATGCAGAAAGCTAAGCCATGGATAATGTAAGCCAACTGTATGACCATTTTTAGCCTATGTTATTTCTAACGGTAAACGTTAACTAATGGAATCCAATATTATCAAAGTTTTTTTTTTTTTTTGTCTTAAAACAATTTCTTTAATGTGTTGGTTTGTATTGCTAAGGCTCATGTTCTAGGAATGAACAAAGTCCATGTTTTTCCCTGAGCCACCTTCCACATACAAATTTTATAATTTTATAAACTTTGATTCTATCAATTTCCTTCTCCCCACACTACAATGCTTCATAACTTAAACAACAGTTTCCTTGACATAGGAATCAGGACTAAATGACATTTTGCAGGCGTGTTACACCATGATTTTCAAAGACATGATACTTTTTTATGGTTTGTATCCAAATTATTTCTAGCAATGTCAGCATTTAGTAAGTCAATGTTTAGGGAAAAGTCTCATAGGTTTACTGCTGTTTAATATAGGCATAGTATTTTATTCCATTTCTGTCTTATTAGCCCAGAAGACTTCAAAAATATTATTTATTGATTCTTGTATCTAGCAACTAATTTATAATTGAGGTCTCCAACACATAAGCATTTTTTCTTTTTTTTTTTTTTCAGATGAAGTTTCACTCTTGTTGCCCAGGCTGGAGTGTAATGGCACAATCTCAGCTCATAGCAACCTCCACCTCCTGGGTTCAAGTGATTCACCTCCCTCAGCCTCCCGAGTAGCTGGGATTACAGGCACCTGCCACCATGCTCAGCTAATTTTTTTGTATTTTTAGTAGAGACGGAGTTTCACCATGTTGGCCAGGGTGGTCTTGAACTCCTGACCTCAGGTGATCTGCCCACCTAGGTCTCCCAAAGTGCTGAGATTACAGGTGTAACCCATGGCACCTGGCCCACCATATAAGCATTTTTCTTTGAATTGCTCCACTTGACAGTTTAAATGTTTCCTCACCATCTTTTCTTCTAGCCAGGGAACCATCTCTTCTAAAAAGATAAACCTGGTTAATCTTCTTCAAAGATTATTTTTCAAACCAGTTCATCACTGGACACTTTCCAAATGAGCATTTTTTTCTTTTTAATTTTAGCAGGGATCTATAAACTATTCTTTACCTGTACATATAGAGATCCAAAGAGAAACAATCCAATCATTTGCATAACCAGAAAAAATGAGAAAAATGTTTCTGTAGATGCATGTATCACAATTATTTTGCATCTATTTTAATTGGATTGCCAATTTCGTTCTTTAGAATGTTGGCTCTACAAAGGTTACATTCCATTAAAAAGGCTCAATATTTACCTGTTCAAGACTACTTTTACAAGTAATTATAACTTGCTACAAATAAAAATCTAAGAAGCTCTTAACTACAGTTATGACTTTTGTTTGATATTAATCATATCTGCTGTTATTCCCATACTTCTCAATGTTATATGAATACTAACCTTTGTTTTATATAAAATGTGACTAACGTAAATTTACCTATAGGTACCTCTCTCCTTCCCTGGTGATTAAAGTCTCATACTAGAGACTTTAAATTTCATGAAACTACTGCAAGCATGTGTATTATAGAACAATTAGCTTAGTATCTGGCATTGCGGCCAGAAAAAAAAAATCATTACCTACAAAATTTCTTGGGCAAAACTTAGGCCATGAAAGAGCTCACATGAATCCAGGTGTACTTTCCTTTACAGGTAGATTTCAGAACAACAACAAAAAATGTAAGACTATATGAAATGATTTAATATGATAAAACTCCCATTTCTAAACCCAATTCTAAAGGATTTACTGACCGATGCTGATTATTTAGTCATGGAAAATGTCTCTTATAAAAGTGCTCCCAACAAAACATGATCTGCAATGATTTACAAAACCTGAAATGCTGGGCTGTGCAGACTGCTTGGTGCACGTCAGGTTGTTTTTTTCTCTTAAATAAGGTATAAAAAGTATGATATCACAGTCCTTCGACTTTATTTTCTGGGATAAAAAAGTATAGGCATAAGTGTTTTTAATAGTCTTCTTGATGATACCCTTTAAAATAACCTATCAAATGGCTTGTTTCATGTTTCCTGATCAGTATTCATCAATGTTACTGTCAGCCTTGATTAACTGGTTGAAAATTTCAGAGCAGAATAAGCAACTTCTGTGAACCTTTCCCCAATCCCTGAGAATCATAATCATTACAGAAATATTTTATCCTTTCATCAAATATCTCTGGAAAGTAGCCGTGTTCGCTCATTGTTAATAGGGCAAGGTGCAGTGTCATAGAGGGTTAATCCATGTAAATTGGCTTCCACCCGTAAAGAAATTTTCTGGAACAGAAAAGAAAATTATATATAGAAGTTTACTCCTTAAAGGGAGATCACTTCTTCAATATGTTCTATCGACTACCTTGTGATTACAAATGTGAGTCAATGCTAATGGTAGTAAGAGTGAGATTTACTGTCAAAGGTATTCCCTTTAGTACCAATTAAAAACTGGAAAAACCAAGCTTTTCTATTCATAAAGTTCCTTGTTTTTCTTCGGTTTCTACTAAGAATCAGTAAAAACCAAATGTTGAGAGTGAACTATGTAAAGGTACTCAGAATCCATAAAAAAATTCTATGTAAGAATTTCTAAAATGTATTTTATAGCCCCATTTTCAAGGCTCAATCTTGCTAGCAATATACTGCTTCTTTTAACACAGTAACTATTTATCTGAAAAGTTACATCACTTACTTGTTTATGGTACCAAATCATAAACAGTTAATTTTCAAAAAGGCTGGAAAGTTGTCTATGGGAAGTTCTCTCAGTCCACCTAAAGGAACTCTGAGTGTGTAAGTCTAACACTGTATTTTCTTACCTGAAAATCACGAATATAAGTCAGGAAAAAACCAAAGAAGGAACATGACATAGACCATTCTGCTGCAGTAGTGATCAGGTGAAGCACATAACCCTGAGTGAAAGGGGGAAAAAAAGAATAGTTTTGTGAAATTTCATTCAAATGATATATATACTATTCTTTAAATAAAAAAACACACAACTCTTATAAAATAATCTGGCTTCTGAAAATCAACCCTTGACTTACCAGGCATATCGTATCTCTAGAATTAAAGAGTCAGCATTAGGAAGTCCTCCTAAATGACACTTTGTTTCACTGGGAGCAAATAAAATTTCCACTTAAACAGCTAAAATGGAACAGGATCATTTTTACTCTACAATCAAGAAATTACTACTGCCTTTCCCAAAGCCATAAGATTCATGATATGTGACTAAGAAAAGTTTGACAATACTCAGAATAAACTTAGTAAGTGCTATGTTTATGATATTAAATTATATATGGGTTACAATTGGGAAAATCCAGTAAGCTATTTCATTCATTCATTTTCACAAACATGAGCAATTTGGGACTAATTCTTAAAATATTATTTAAAACAAAACACCACCAAGTGGTTTGTGAAAACAGATGAATTCATTTTATTGTTTCATATATGTCCCTCCTCCTTTACTCTCAGGGTCCAAGATGCTAACCATTCAGATATCCACTATATTGAAAACTAAATGCGGAGTCCATAATTCAGATAACAAAAAGTGGAAGAATACGTCTTTTCAATTCAGAAAACAAGTATTCAAAAAATAAGTAATCTCAGTTGGGTATATTATATACTATACCCACATTTAGGTATAGTTTTCTGAGTCAATTTCTCAGAAAACTCTTTTGCCATCACAATGCTCTTCATATTTTGATAATATCTACATATCACAGGTGACAGGAGAATATGGATAGTTCTGCATAAACCCTACCATATCTAGAAAATAATCCTAATACACAACTGATTATTCTACCAGAAGACTTTCATTGTTACTGATGAAATAAAAAATACATTAAGATTTACCGAAATAATTATCTTTAATATAAAACTAAGTTTTATAGACTGTAAGTTCTTACTTTGTCCTCAGGGTTCCAATGGAGTTTCTGTTCTAAGTCAGTCCCAAAATTGCCGCTGTGCAAAACTGATGAGCAAATCAACACTATAAAAACATAAGTCAAGGAAGAATCTCAGAGAAGAATGAAAATCACTTTAAAGTCTAAAAGGATTACTCACATATTTGTTGCTAAGGTCTGAACCCATTTTCTTAAAGACTTAATGTTACACAGCAGTGGGCTGTAAAACTAAAACTGTGCTCTGAGGGTCACAACGATATGGTTCTCACCGTCAATTCCCACCTCTTTGTTCAGAAAACTAGCAGTTCTATCATAATCTTTAACTAGATAACAGTTCTCAGAGAGGGCCTTTACTCATCCTTCATTTCTACGAAGTGAATATGATCAGACTAAACAGTTTTTTGTTCCTAGCTCAATTACTGAGGTACTGTGTACAATCTGAATTTCATATTTCAAATCCTTTAGGATTGTGAACCTAAGAATCTCTTCTACAAAAAAAGTTCTTACAATGCACCAATAGTGTTCACTTAAATTTTGTCATTCAATTCCCTTCCAAGTATAGCCACATTGTACAGTGAAGGATACTGCTAAACGCACTCACTCCACACCAGATAGCCAACAATAGTCTGATCCAGAAGACTTGTTTGCCATGGATTTTAGGTTGCATTTGGTAGGAAAGGATGGTTTGAACAAACATATATAATGAGCCCATACTAAAGGTGAGCACAGCTCCACTTACATGTGCAGCAAAAACGGCTGTTTTCTGAGAGATAAAAAGAAGAAACTAGTCAACAAAAGAAACCCAGAACACATGGGCAACACAACATTTAAAAGCACAAGCCAGAGATTTCAATAGGACATTCGCTAAGTAGAGAAGCTCAGCCAATTCTACAAATTACTTTCTGAAGTAATTTTCTCTCCTAATACTCAGCATAAACCTGAGGATTCAAGTAAAACCAAACTATTTCATACACTACCACTGAAAATATAAGAAATTATTTATTATTTTCTTCATTTAATAATTATGTTTACTTGGTGCCTATTAGGTGCTAGGCACTGTTCTAAATCTTCAGATCCACTAGAGAATAAAAGAGACAAAAATCCAGCCCTCAGAGACTTTAGTAAAGGTACATAAACAATAAACATAAACTTTAGAAATACGGAAATTCCAGTGTATCTGGTGGTGATAAGGGTCATAGAAAAAGCATAGTACAATAAGAAAAGATTGGAATGGACTGCAGTACTGGCAATAGGGAGTTTCCATTTAAATTCAATTTAACTGTAAATAAATTTAAAGGCTCAAGAAATTAAAACATGCTTCCTTGGCTCCAGTTTGATTCGTTTTATATAGTTACACTCCCATAAGCCAAGGAACACCAAGGATTACTGGTAATCACCAGAAGCCAGGAACATATTCTTCCTCTGAGCCCCCAGTAGAGAACCAACCCTACCAACACCCTGATTTTAGACTTCTGGCCTCCCGAACTTTGACAGAATAAATTTCTACTCAGTCACCCAGTTTGATATTTTATTATGGCAGACCTATAAAGTTAATAATTCTGCTTACTAAACTCTTACTACTCTCCTTTGATAAATTTTGTAAGAAGAAAAAAATTTCCTTCAGTAGATAGTGAAGACACTTACTATGTATTTATTTTACTGAACGCCATATACAAATTTGTTTAAAAAGAATTTCAATTTTTATTTTTTAAGTTAGATTTTTCAAATACCATCTCATAGCAATTATTAGGCATCTCTCTCAATGCAGGCAACCATAGCAATAAGAGAATTTTTTCCCATCCTGCACGGTTCCTTTAACCTCTCTTAGTAAGTCACTAAGTAAGTAACGAGAGCATGTTTGTCCTAAGTACTAAACTAGGTGCTGGAGATACAATGGTGAACAAAACCACTGTGCTTACGATTAATAAAGAAATACATCAACTAAGAAACAAAAATAATAAATTTGAACAACCATGGATATAAAAGGCATCATGGCATACCAAACAGAGGAAAACAGCATGTGAAAGGGAGTTACATAAGCCTGTGCTATTTAAGGAGCACGAAAAGGCCAGTGATATATAGAATAGAGACATTAAGAAGGAGAATAATGCAAAGTTAGGCGTGAGAGGTAGAAATAAGCCGGATCATACAAGAGCTTTAAGTTAGGCAGTTTGGTGGTTTAGCAAATTATGTTTTTCTCTCTTGATTGTATCTCCTTTCACATAATTTTTAAACCTATAAAGCTTTAAGCAAGGGCACAGGGAAGCAAAGTAAGATGTATCTACATTTCCAAAAGATCACTTTTACTGCAATAGAAATGATTAAAGGAATTTAGAATGAATGCACAGGAACCATTGAGGAGGCTATGGCAGTAGCTCAGATGAGAGACGATGAAATCTAAACTACTTGAGAAAACAATAAAGAGGGAAGTAAAGATAGAAATAAAAAGAAGTGAATGTCTGCAAAAAATATTCAAGAAGTAAAACCAGTAAGTCCCAACTCCATTTAAAACACAGGGCTAGAGTTAATTTTAGTGTAAGGTGTCAGGAAGGGGTCCAGTTTCTGCTTTCTGCACATGGCTAGCCAGTTTTCCCAACACCATTTGTTGAACAGGGAATCCTTTCCCCATTGCTTGTTTTTGACAGGTTTATCAAAGATTGTATGGTTGTAGATATGTTGTGTTGCCTCTGTTCTGTTCCATTGGTCTATATCTCTGTTTTGGTACCAGTACCATGCTGTTTTGATTACTGTAGCCTTGTAGTATAGTTTGAAATCCAGTAGTGTGATGCCCCCCGCTGTGTTCTTTTTGCTTAGAATTGACTTGGCTATGCGGGCTCTCTTTTGGTTCCATATGAAGTTCGTGGTGGTTTTTTCCAGTTCTGTGAAGAAAGTCAATGATAGCTTGATGAAGATAGCATTGATTCTGTAAATTACTTTGGGCAGTATAGCCATTTTCACAATATTAATTCTTCCTAACCATGAACATGGAATGTTTCTCCATCTGTTTGTGTCCTCTCTGATTTCGTTGAGCTGTGGTTTGTAGTTCTCCTTGAAGAGGTCCCTTACGTTCCTTGTGAGTTGTATTCCAAGGTATTTTATTCTTTTTGTAGCAAATGTGAATGGCAGTTCGTTCTTGATTTGGCTTTCTTTAAGTCTGCTATTGGTGTAGACGAATGCTTGTGATTTTTGCACATTGATTTTATATCCTGAGACTTTGCTGAAGCTGCTTATCAGTTTCAGGAGTTTTTGGGCTGAGGCGATGGGGTCTTCTAGGTATACTATCATGTCGTCTGCAAATAGAGACAATTTGACTTCCTCCTTTCCTATTTGAATACCGTTTATTTCTTTTTCTTGCCTGATTGCTCTGGCTAGAACTTCCAGTACTATATTGAATAGGAGTGGTGAAAGAGGGCATCCTTGTCTAGTGCCGGATTTCAAAGGGAATGCTTCCAGTTTTTGCCCATTCAGTATGATATTGGCTGTTGGTTTGTCATAAATAGCTTTTATTACTTTGAGATACGTTCCATCGATACACTAAAATTAACTCCAGATGGATTAAAGACTTAAACATAAGACCTGGCACCATAAAAACCCTAGAAGGAAATCTAGGCAAAACTATCCAGGACATAGGAGTAGGCAAGGACTTCATGAACAAAACACCAAAAGCATTGGCAACAAAAGCCAAAATAGACAAATGGGACCTAATGAAACTCCACAGCTTCTGCACGGCAAAAGAAACAGTCACGAGAGGGAATCGGCAACCAACAGAATGGGAAAAAATGTTTGCAGTTTACCCATCTGACAAAGGGCTGATATCCAGAATTTACGAAGAACTCAAACAGATTTACAGGAAAAAAACGAACAAGCCCATTCAAAAGTGGACAAAGGATATGAACAGACACTTTACGAAAGAAGACATATATGAGGCCAACAATCATATGAAAAAATGCTCATCATCACTGGTCATCAGAGAGATGCAAATCAAAACCACATTGAGATACCATCTCATGCCAGTTAGAATGGCGATCATTAAAAAATCTGGAGACAACAGATGCTGGAGAGGATGTGGAGAAAAAGGAACACTTTTACACTGTTGGTGGGAGTGTAAATTAGTTCAACCACTGTGGAAGACAGTGTGGCGATTCCTCAAGGCCTTAGAAATAGAAGTTCCATTTGACCCAGCAATCCCATTACTGGGTATATATCCAAAAGACTATAAGTCGTTCTACTATAAGGACACATGCACACGAATGTTCATTGCAGCACTGTTTACAATAGCAAAGACTTGGAATCAACCCAAATGCCCATTGATGATAGTCTGGATTGGAAAAATGTGGCACATATACACCATGGAATATTATGCAGCAATCAGAAATGATGAGTTCGTGTCGTTTGTAGGGACATGGATGAATCTGGAGAACATCATTCTCAGCAAACTGACACAAGAACAGAAGACGAAACACCGCATATTCTCACTCATAGGTGGGTGATGAAAAATGAGAACACATGGACACAGAGAGAAGAGTACTAAACACTGGGGTCTATTGGGGGGAAATGGGGAGGGCCAGTGGGAGGGGGAAGTGGGGAGAGATAGCCTGGGGAGAAATGCCAAATGTGGGTGAAGGGGAGAAAGGAAGCAAAACACACTGCCATGTGTGTACCTATGCAACTGTCTTGCATGTTTGGCACATGTACCCCCAAACCTAAAATGCAATAAAAAATTAAAAAACAAATAAAACACAGGGCTAGCCTCTCTTCCAAGCCAATACCTGCAAGGGCAAACCTTACAGACTTGACTTTGTAAAATTTTTCCTGTATAAATCACCTAGAGTTTGTCACCATAAAAGAAAAGGGGGAAGTAGAGGAGGAAGCAGTGCACTCACCACTTTAATTAAATAGTAAAGGTTTACTCTGGAAATGAAGGAGATCCTCACTAGTAGAGTGGTAAGAAAAGAAAAAAATTTTTTTAATTAAAAAAAAAAAGAAAGGTAAGAGTTGTCTGATATTTGGGTGATGCTACAGGGTCTGCTTATAACCAGGGCCCGGCAATAAAGCCATCAAGAGAGAAAAAGTAATTTAATTCAAAATTACAAGTCCAAAAGGATTCCTGCGGTGAAGGTAAATTAGAATAAAAGCTAAAAGCAAAACAATGAAGAAAGTATATGGGCTACCTTAAGTAAATGAGATAAAAGGTGGAAAGGCAGTTTGTCTGGGTGCTATCAAGAACTGTTACTGGAATTTGCTGGGCTGTGTAAACAAATACTGGAAATTCATTTTTACCGTAAAAGTAATGAGAAACATTGTTAAATTGACCAAGAGACAGGTGAAACAGAGAATCACCATTTTTAGTGTGTCACTAAAATTCCCCAAAACATTTAACAATGAGCTACAGAAACTGATTAGGGAAGGCAGAACTCTATTTGTGGCACAGACATCTAGCTAGTTGTCCACTCAAATTGTTGTTCTCCTTTTATAGTATAAAGTGGCTGCTGGGAATTAATGTCAGCAAAACTACATTTTTTTCCAGGGTCCATTTCTTCCAACCTGTGCACAACCCCCTATACCTCAATATCTAGCAAACCTGAATGTTGGTGGAATTACATGAAATTACATGAATTTTTGTCAGGTGACAAAAATTCTCTCCTTCACCAAACCCAGCTCAGGTTCCTTTGAACTCTCTTGTCAACTAGGTCCTGACTTCTGGTGTGCTATGTTCATCTCTGCATTGTCCAATTTTAGCGAGAATCTTGTTAAGTCAGTTCAGACAGAATCCGCCATCCTTCATATCTGATCACCATAAATATAATTATCACCTCAGGTGATGTCTAATCATCCTGGCCTGGCTTCACCAAGAATCCTATTAGGTCACTGCTATGGTTTTGACATTTGACTCCTCCAAATATCAAGTTGCAATTTGATCCCCAATGTTGGAAATGGGGCCTAATGGGAGGTTGTCTGGGTCACAGGGGTGGATCCCTCATGAATAGATTAATGTGGGGGGCTGGGGGTGGTAAATGAGTTCTCATTCTATTCACTCCTATGAGAGCTGGTTGTTAAAAAGAGCCTGGCACCACCACCCCTTGCTTCCTCCCTTGTGAGCTCCGCACACACCGGCTCCCCCTTTGCTTTCCATCAAAAGTGTAAGCTTCCTCATCATAACAAAATGCTGGCATCATGCTTCCTGTACAGCCTGCAGAACCATGACCCAAATAAACGCCTTTTCTTATCATTTATCCAGCCTGAAGTTTCTTTCATAGCAACACAAAACAAACTAAGACTGTTTAACCAGAATCCCTTAACCCTTACGCTTCCGGCTTAGTAATCTTCCATCCACTAACCACTGCACCCTGCTCCACAGCTGTAAATTCCCACTTTTACTTTTATTCAGAGTTGGGCCCAATGTTTCTTTCCTACTTCTCACTCTGTGGAAAACTGAAAAATATTTGATAAAGATTGACCACTACCTTAACATTAAGTATTTGACATTCTCTTTTCCTGAGAAAAAGCTAGAAGAGCTACAGTTCTTCCTTTTATTTCCTCATATACAAGGCAGGACACCTACAAATGCAGGCAACAGATGAAAATATCCACCAAACCAGTAGAAAAATAGGTAAATGACTATAAATTGTTAGACATATTAAAAACTTTTTAAATCTATAATTGTGTCACTTATAACTTATATCAATTTTGTTTCAGTACTGAGTTAAAGTAATCTCCAACTAAGTAGTAATGAATAGTCTAATAATTGTCCTGTGGTTCCTAAAAAAGTTAAAACAATTTGTATTTGTTCAAATTTTTAAATATGAATTTTTCTTATTGTACAAGTAGCTATTTCTAATAGGGTCAAATAATTTAGAGGAAGTGATTTTTATTTTGTTAAGGTAAAGAAATAACAATAGCATGTAATTGAATGCTTCAGGTTTCCCTTTATATGTATATTTATGTGCTTAAGGAAAATACCTATGCTGGGCTAAAACACAAACCTGGAAGTTTGCCACAACAGAAAGTCCTAAGCAACTCAGTATTCCAAGTACAAGGCCAGCCTTGTTTAATTTGATGATAACGTTCTCTTCAGGACTCAGAGCATGAACTTGCTTATAACGAACATAAATGGTAGCAATGCCTGGGAAAAGATAATCCAGAAAACAACAAGGTAATAAATAACCAAGAAATAAAGTTGCCAATGAAGAGTTCACAAAGGTCACTGCTATCCAGAACCACAGATTTTCCTTTTAAAATTAATCAGAAAGAATAAAAAGAATAAAACCAAAATAGCTGTAGTTTTGTTTTTGCTTTTAAGTGATGGGGTCTCTCTATGTTGCCCAGGCCAGACTCAAACTCCTGACCTCAAGTGATCCATTGATCTCAGCCTCCCAAATTGCTGGGATTATAGGCACATACCTGTGTGCCTGGCTCGTGCCGGGGAAGTTGAAGAAACTTAAGGTTGTATTACGGAACCACTGATGTCTCCAGTGACTAAGCAAACCATTGCCTTCCGTGGGTCTCATATTTACAAACACTTAGAGTCATGTAAAACACAAAATATTTTTATGATTAGCATCAGAACCAGAAGTAGCTAGTTCTAGAATATGTATAAAATGGGTATAGGGAAAAATCTCAAAAGCTTGTTTGTGTCACACTCATATTATTTTATTTCAAATTACAACTTGGCTCAGTAAGATACAGTAGCCCAGGCCTGTAATCCCAGCATTTGGGGAGGCTGAGGCAGGTGGATCATGAGGTCAAGAGATTGAGACCATCCTGGCTAACACAGTGAAACCCTGTCTCTACTAAAAATTCAAAAGAATTAGCCAGGCATGGTGGCAGGCACCTGTGGTCCCAGCTACTCGGTAGGCTGAGGCAGAAGAATCACTTGAGCCCAGGAGGAGGTTGCAGTGAGCCGAGATTGCGCCACTATACTCCAGCCTGGTTACGGAGCAAGACTCCATCTCAGAAAAAAAAAAAGGAACGTTGCTCAAAAATCAAAACATGATTCAATCTTCATTCTAAACTGTTTATCCCAAAGAAATTTAGTTGGGGTTAGTTGTGGTCAGCTGCATCTGTAATCCTTTGTTCCTTACTGGTTGTGTAAGAAGTCCACTGAAGTCCTCAAGAAGTATTTGGTTATACTTAACAACTTCCATTTGAATGAATAGTAGAATAATCCTATACATATTTTTTAAAGGTTTATTCCCGTAAGTCAGCATTTCTAGAAAAGTGTTTTTCTTTTAAAAGGAGCATAATTATGATCAATTATGTAGTGATACTCTCAAGTATAACAAGTAACACTATAGTGTTGAAAGAAGAAAATACTGTAGCAATGTGGCTATTAAATATCATTGTTAAATCACTGTCATTACTTACATAAAACTGCTGCGATATTTAGCATTGCCCCAAATAAGCATTTTTCAGGAGCTACTGTACCAGTGTCACTGAAAGAAAAAAAAGGGAGGTAGGTGGATTTCTCACTAGATAGACACATATATTTCTTCTAAGGGATATGAATACCAGAAGTTACTTCAAACCTCTTATCTTTTATAAGTCCATGAGTTCAACTCATATATCATTTTATACAGAGAACATGACAATTTGAGTTCACAAATATCTGCCTACTTCACTTTTTACTTACATCATTTTAAGATTATTTCTCTTCCACATAGTAGATCAATACATACTGATTTTTAAAAGCTATCCTCAGTATGTTAAGACTATGTTATTTACTTACCATCATTCAGGCGGATGCATTTATCTATCCCACCAGAATATTCCCTAAACACCACGAATCTTTCACAACTGCCTTTTTGCACCTTTTGCTAACTATGCCTGTATTCAATTAATTACTATTCACTGACTGATCAAATATTAAACGTATTATCAAGGACTTACCATGTGCCAGACACCATTTCAGGGACAGGAACACAGTGGCAAATAAAATAAACAAACCCCTGCCCTCGCAGAGCTTACATTCAAGACCAGTTTTGAGTCTCTTCCTCTCTGTAGTCTTGGAAAACTCCTCCAGCAGATAGTGACTCACCTGGCATGCTTTCCGAACTTCTGTGATTTCATGCTTCTGAACTCACTTACTACACAGCACTACAACATATCCACTTGCATGCCTGTCTTTCAGAGCAGTATGCAACACACAGGGGCAGATTAAAAACCCACCATTGACTTACTGCAGGACCTTACATTCAGCCTTTTATCTGCCTAAAACTATTCCCTTCATTTGCAAAATGGGGTTATTCATTCCCTCCCAGCCTCATCATATCACTGTAAGGATGAAATGTAATAGTAATGCATATTAAGTATCTAGCATAGTAGCAGGCTAATGAGAGACACCTATTAAATATTAGTTCCTTTTCCCCTTCCTCAAACTACTACAAAGATTAAAAAGACAACGTCTCTGGCCTTGAATTGAAGTACTACAAGAAAGAGATAATCAGGGTCTCGACTAAGACAATGCAATGGGAAGAAAAAAGAAATAGAAAGTTATAGCTGGTAAGAATCCATAAGATTTGTAAACATTTAGATTATGGGTGTTAGGAAATGGAAAGTATTAAACATGAATTGTACGGATTTCTCCTTCTAACTTTACAATTCCATGAGTCTTTCTCTTAAAAATAATAAAAATATAAAAATAGAGAAACAAAAAATCATTTGTAAAGAAAAATTATAAGATAATAAAATATATCTTTCACTACAAAAGATTTTAGTACTCTTTGACCATCTTCAGGAGTAGGGAATAAAGGGTTTTTTGCTTCTTCTACTTTTCAAATTTTCTACAAGGTATATGTATTATTCTTAGAAAAAAAGAAATCTGTAATTTTCAGAGGTATACTCCAAATGATGCATGGGTTTTGGATTACCTTGTAAGCAAACAAAGGCATGCATTTCTAAGATGGTTGGCTAAGTGTTCTTTCCTTTGGCTCAGGACAGAATGACATACTCTGGCCTTCATATGGAAACAGCCATGCCCATCACCTCAGTACCATAGCACTTCATCTCAGTAGTCACCAAACGTTGATCACACATCATCACCAAACAATGTCTGACCATCTAACATCAAAATATATGGTTATCATTATTCTATATGTTAAATATTGGCAAAGTTTAAATGTTTTTAGATTAAATATATATATAGACATTGTAGTATTTCTTCTCTCACCCCAGTGGCTAGTCACTTCCTTGGGCATCCACTACTTGAACCAACTGAGAGAACTCTTGAAGTACACTTGTAGCAAAATTGCCTTTGAAGTGAAATCTACGTTTGGTTATATCCACTGGGGCTGTTAATGGCTATACTTTTTTTTTTTCTTTTTTTGAGACAGAGTCTCACTCTGTTGCCCAGGCTAACAGCTAAACCTTTTCGATAAGATCTAGGAACTGAAAAGAATTTTGCAGACTATCTCAACCATTTTGCCGATGAAGAAAATGAGCCTACAAGAAATAAAAATAAGTACTAGACTTTAAATATGTATGTCAGAATGCTGGAAAAAGACCTCAGGGTAATACTAAGTTCAAGAGCAGAAAAATTTAAAAAGCAGAAGGGGCAGAACAGAAAAGGAAGTGTCTAGGGTGCTTTAAAGAAAATCACGTGCAGTACCATCAAGAAACTGAAACTCTGAAAAAGAACTAGATGGCCTCTTATATTACAGTAGTCCCTTGGTATCTGTGGGGGACTGGTTCCTGGACCCCCATCGTATAACAAAACCTGGGGATGCTCAAGTCTCTTATATAAAATGGTGCAGTATTTGCATATAAGCTATGCACATCTTCCCATATGCTTTAAATTGTCTCTACATTACTTACAATATCTAATACACATCATTTCATTCCGGTGGATTCAATAGAGTACTTGGCAGCTGGCAAATTAAAGTTTTGGGACTTGATGATATTTATGTCCCCAAAATATTTTCAGTCGATGGTTGATTGGATGTATAGAAGTGGAACCCATGGATATGGAGGGCTGGCTGTATTAAACGTTCTTCAAAACGAAAGCAGGCAAGTTCTCAGATGGAGAAAAAGAAATACTCTGAAAGACTCTCAAAAATCTTAAATATGTATCTTCTGGAGTTACTAAAGAATAGTGTGCTCCTTAGGCTACACGTTCCACTAGCAGAATGGTAAAATCAAATTATTCCTCGAATTGGAACCTTAAATTATAAAACATTTTTGGGTTTTGTAAATCTTCCCAAACCTCATCCAATCTGTTTACATCCTCTGTGCCATACCATACCACTATAGAAACAACACATGTAGACAGCAATGCCCAGATCTTTTCTTGACATTTGTAAAAGATAAATTTAACCTTCCAATTTATCATTCTTTAAAAGATTACTATTTTCTGTATTGGAAAGGTTATTTTTCTGAAGGTAAACGAATAAATGAAACAACCACAACTGCAGCAAAACAAAGAATATTACTCAACAACAGCAACAAAATTTGGCATCTCTGTGAGGAAATGACGTTTCAAAGGCATCACATAGAGGCTGAATACTTCTGGGGAGGACCAAGGTGAAAGCATTTAGATTAAAACACTGGTAGTTGCTTGATCATATTTAATAATAACAGTATTTTAATAATTATGTTTTCTTCATCTCCCTGTCCTGTGTAATTCATTTAACTTCCATACAGAAGTTTAAACCTCGGCCGGGCGCAGTGGCTCAAGCCTGTAATTCCAGCACTTTGGGAGGCCGAGGCGGGTGGATCACGAGGTCAACAGATCGAGACCATCCTGGTCAACATGGTGAAACCCCGTCTCTACTAGAAATACAAAAAATTAGCTGGGCATGGTGGCACGTGCCTGTAATCCCAGCTACTCAGGAAGCTGAGGCAGGAGAATTGCCTGAACCCAGGAGTCGGAGGTTGCGGTGAGCCGAGATCGCGCCATTGCACTCCAGCCTGGGTAACAAGAGCGAAACTCTGTCTCAAAAAAAAAAAAAAAAGAAGTTTAAACCTCAATAGCTCAGAAGCCATTCATATGACTATGATTTCCTCATATCCTTTCTGTGAATGCATATATTGATGCAACACTTTTAGAGGTATGTTTGGAAATGTCAAATAAAAAATGTAGATGCCCTATTACCTATTTAGCAATCTTACTTCTAGAAATCTACCCACATCAGTATCGGTACGTTGTTACATGTAATGAAAACTTCATTATAGCACTGTTTGTAACAGCCAAAAAAAAAAGGGAGGAAGAATAAGCAATTTGTATATCAACATCCTATCACATTTTATAAACAGAACAAAATTTAAAACGCAAAACAGTGAGAAAGAAGGAGAAAAAAAGAGAGTTTTGAACAAATGTGATAACAAGATAAACCAAACTCTGGAAGGAAATCTACCAAACTACGAATGACCTCTAGGGTATAGAAACTGGAGGGTGTCGGGAAGGGATTTTCACTTTTTATTTTTATAATCTCTCTAGTACTGTTTAAAATTTGTTGTAATAATTACTTATTGCTATTGCAATTTTTTTTTTAAAAAAAGAGGGTTATGGACATAGCGTATGTAACTAACTACTCATTCTTACTTCATTCATTGAAGGATTTCAAAAACATTATTGATAAATTTTTGGCAGCATAAAGAGTAAGAGCTTAGCTTCTAGAGTCAAACTGTCCAGGTGTAAATCTTGGTTCCAACACTAACTGAGTTGTATTCCCATGAGTGAATCACTTGACCTCCCTGCACCTCATTTCCTTTTCTCTCAAATGAGGATCATAGTTCCTACCTCATCTGGTTGCTGTAAGGATTCAACTATTTAGGATATGAAGAATGCTTAGAAAATCACTTCCTACACAGTAAGTATATCAAGAAATGTTTGTCATTTCCATTATCTTTTCATATTATTATTATTATTGCAGCATTTTTTTAAATTTAAGGGGAGAATCATTCTAATTCTATATTCTCAAACAATTTCAAATACTTAGAAAACAAGGCACTAAGGCATCTCAGTTCAATAACCAGTTCACAAACTGAATCTTCCTGGGCTGTCTCTACATTTCTCTATCACATAAAACACAAGTCAAATTCAATTCCTTTTTACATTCCCTTTATTGTTGTAATGTCAATGTCAAATCTGATTTTTAAAAGGTTGACATTAAATGTTGGCTTCAACGTTAAAATAAGAATGAGACATAAAGAGTCTGCTATACAAAGAGTACATTTCACTTACCTGATATAAGGTAAAGCCGGGTCTATATGGTGGAGTGTTATTGCAGTAATGTATGAAAATATGAAAGCAGCAGACGTCCAAATTACAAGGGCTGAAGGAAGGAAACTGAGGCCTTGCTGAAACCACCACATTTCAAACAAGTTTTCTGAAATAGAAAAAACAAATAGAACAGATAATTCACAAGGGTTTCCTCATCCTACTTTAGCCATCCATGCCCACAGCCTGTACTTACCACCCCAAGCTGTTCCACCTCTGAAATCATCCCTTATGCCATACCCCAACATCTGCTCTCCTTCGCTTTCTTAGTGAGTGGAACCAAGATTCACCACCCACTTGACATAGCTAGAAACTTAACTTTCTGTCCCATCTTCCCATAGGAAGTACTGAGTACCAAGTACTGTTTATTCTACCTCCTAAATTCATTTCAAATCTACCCCTTTTCTCCGTCTTCATTGTCACTACTTTACCCAAAAAACTATCACCTCTTGGCCAATTATTAGAACTTCCTAAGCAGTCCCTATGATATTGCAAAATATAATGTATTTGGTCTTCATCCCATTTCCTGGCAAAAAGCTCTTAAAATCCTTGGCATCTCCAGGGTCTTCTATATGCAAATAAGGTTTGCAGCCCATAGATAGCTTCAGGATGGGAGCTGGTCACAGGAAAGACCAAGGCATAATTAAAGGATTGGACATTCAGTCCCCCATCGCCAATTCCAGGAAGGCTGAGAGAGGATAAGAGTTATGTTCATCATGCCTGTGTAATAAGGCACCCATAAAAACCCAACAGGACTGGATTCAGAGTGCTTCTAGACAGCCAAGCATGTGAGGCTAAGGATGGCATACCCAGAGAGAGTGCAGAAGCACTGTGCCGTTTCCCACATCCCTGGCCTTATCCATCTAGTAAATATAAATGTTTCCCTGAGTTCTGTGAGCCACCCTAGCAAATTAATTAAACGTAAGAAGGGGGTGGTGGGAACCCTGGTTTATAGCCATCCAGTCAGAAACAGACAACCTGGGCTTGTGATTGTTATCATTGGGAGATGGTCTAGTGGGACTGAGCCCTCAACAAGTGTGATCTGATGCTATCTCTAGGTAGATATCATCGAAATTGAATTAGGAGACATCCAACTGGTGTTGACTGGTGGAGATTAATTGCTACACTTGTTGATGATCAGAGAAGTATTGTGTTGATTATTGAGTGAGAGAATAGGAAAAATACTTCAATTGGTTTTTCTTTTCTTTTATTTATTTACTTTTTTTTTTTTTTTTTTGAGACAAGGCCTCACTCTGTTGCCCAGGCTGGAGTGCAGTCGTACAATCACAGCTAACAGCAGCCTTGACCTCCCCAGCTCAAGTGATCCTCCCACCTCAGCCTCCAAAGTAGCTGGTCCCACAAGTACACACCACCACGCCCAGCTAACTTTTTCTTTATAATTTGTAGGGATGTGGTTTCATTATGTTGCCCAAGCTGGTCTCAAACTTGTGGGTTTAAGAAATCCTCCTACCTCCGTCTCCCAAATTGCTGGAATTACAGGTGTGAGCCATTCAGCTCAGCCTAGTTTTTCTATTATTTCTTGGTCCTCCTTACTATGCCTTAACAGTGTTTATTAAATACCTTAAATATGTGAAATGTGTACTTTCCTCAACAGAATTAGAGGTTAAGACAATTTACCAAGGTCATAGAGCTGGATGTGATGGAGACAGGATTCAAACTCAAGCAATGGGATTCTAACACCAAATCGACTATGCCACACTGCCATAGCAAATTTCCCGCAGATCTTCAAATGTGTCATGTGCTCGGGCACACCTTCAGGCCTTCATGGTGACTAGAACACTGCCTACCCAGTTCAAATTTATATGTTTTTCAAGGCTCAATCCTTCCAGTTTCAGTTGAGGGCCCCTGCTTTGTTTTTAACAGCCCCCTTTACTTCCCCAACCAAGGTACTCATTATACTTAACCTGCTTGTTTGGTTTTCTCTTCCTCAACAAACTTTAAGTTCCGTGAGAGCAGGAAACAAGGTTGTGTTCACTATTACATTTTCAGCTCCTACATGGGGGCAGTGGGAGGCGGGGCAGAGACAGAGGGCTTAAATATACCTGTACCACACATCACCACTTTCTTCCTTGAATTCCAGACTAAGGATGTTGTTAAGTACCAATGAGTCAATAATGTGAATTAAGAAACACTGGTACAACTTCATGCTTTTAATTCTTATAATTTTTAAAAATATAGAAATACTTTTAAATTACACTACTTCTATGCATGTGAGAATAATTTCATGTTTGAAGGAGTATCTTCTATTTTGATGACCTAAAGAAATATAGTATTTTCTATGAACTTTTTGACTACTTACAGCTTCCTCATCTCAGACTGACTTTCCAAAGAATGAAATCTCACCCATTTTTAATTTGTATTTGTCATTTACTCCAACCATCTGATTTGTTGCTAAGTATGTACATTTGCATTTCGGAATCTCCTCTCTTCTCCTCCTTTTTCCTTGTCAGTCCTTAACCTCCCATTAACATTTTTTTTCTTCATCTATTCAGTTAACCATGACAACTCCTTGCCAAAATCCTATCGGTGCTTTCTCAAGCACAGGTTTCCAGGACAAGAGTTCTTAATTTACATAATTTTGAGTTATTTCCAGGATCTTTCATTTTTCATCTCTCGTCTCTTTAAATGTCAATTTCTGTTTCTGATCATTCCTATAAGTCCTTAGGAGTCTCTTGTCAGTTCAGCTGACCCTTGCACATATGTTTTATGGTTTTTGACTCTGAGCTTGTATTTAGACAATTTTAAAATCTAGGAGTATTCCAAAAGGCTTAAATGAAGAGTGAGTCATTACAGCGATAATTTGTATTTGTTTTTTCCAGACACTATGGTATATTACCAACCCGGGCCAACTTTACGTTAATTTCTTGGCTTCTGAATTTTTAGACAGTGTAGATATATAAATTTGAACCTTGACTATGAGTGATGGCAGACCCTCCAGTTTCAAGTTCTCAGGTGGTATCTTTATTCCCCCACCTGGAGCTGTGGTGAAAATTTACAAATTTCTTTGTGATCTCTCTTTACCAGGAGGGAGATATTTTTCTGGCCTACCTTGAATGAGTATGTAGACTTTTGTGGGTCCTCACTGAATTTGGGGGAAGGTGCTTCTCCAATACCATGAGTTGTACAATTTAAACTTTATTCTATAAAAACATCACCCCCTGAAACATAGGCACCATTTACATCAACCACCATGGAATGGCACCCATGGGAGCTGTGTGCCTGGGAGGTTACAGGGGTATGAATTCTGTCTCTCCACTTTGAGTAGAGAGCAGCCTGTCACCTGTCCCTGACTGTGCTTTACTTTTGCTATCAGCCAAATGCCCTCAAAGGAAACACTCTGCTAGTATACTACTGTAGTTTCAGCTCTTTTTTTTTTTTTTAACCTTTTAGCCCTGGAGATTTCCCTTTCTTTCATAGAAGACCTGTCATCAATTTAATGAGCTAATGTAATTCATTCAGCATTTAGGTGTTTTGGCAAAAGTGATTTTCAAAATATTTTGTCTACCTCATTGCTAGCAGCAAAATCTCCTCACTCTTTTGTTGTTTTACATGTCTAAATCCTTCCTTTTCTTCAAAAGCTCAAATGCTATCTTTCACAGACAACTTCGCCTAATCTATTTGTATGTAGAAATAAGCACCCCGAGCCAGGTGCGGTGGCTCATGCCAGTAATCCCAGCACTTTGGGAGGCCAAGGAAGGCAGATCACAAGCTCAGGAGTTTGAGATCAACATGACCAACATGGTGAAATCCCGTCTCTACTAAAAATACAAAAATTTAGCTGGGCATCGTGCTGCATGCCTGTTATTCCAGCTACTCAGGAGGCTGAGATAGGAGAATTGCTTGAACCTGGGAGGCAGAGGTTGCAGTGAGTCGAGATTGTGCCACTATACTCCAGCCTGAGCGACAGCACAAGACTTTGTCTTGAAAAAAAAGAAAAGAAATAAGATAAGCACCCCTTTCTCTGAGAACACCTGATTTGTACATCTTTTATAGCTCATTATCTTCTACAGTATGAAAAGTGAGAACAGTGTCTTAAAGGAATAAAATTCTTCCACTTCCCTACCTAAGCATAGCAGAGGGCCTTACCCATAGTAATCACTCAATATTTGTTGAATGAACAGCCAAAGCAAAATCCTTTTAATTCCCAAAACTGTTCATGATTTTTCTGTTTTAGTAAACAACATCACCATTTTTTCAGGTTATCAGGATTCTAAGACTTCAAAGGAATCTTAGGTTCTCTCTTATAAAGTCCTCATATGCTGTCACCAAGTGATGGCAATTCTATTTCCACAAGTCGTTTAAACCATTCTTCTTCCCAATTCACACTGTAACCATGTGATTCTGACTTGGAATTCTCTTGGCCTGCTTTTTCCTGCCCTTTCACCCATTCTGCCTGTATTACCAAATTAACATTCCTAAAGTATGCCTCTGCTCAAAACTTTTAAATAAAATTGTGTGAACTTGAGCAAGTGTCATAACTTCACTGAACCAGTTTCTCCTTTGAAAAATGGAATAGGAGAAATAGGGGAGGGACAGCAGCGGGTGGGGAGTTGGGGAAGAGATAGCATGGGGAGAAATGTCACATATGGGTGATGGGAAGGAAGGCAGCAAATCACACTGCCATGTGTGTACCTAAGCAACAGTCTTGCATGTTCTTCACATGTACCCCAAAACCTAAAATGCAATAAAAAATAAAATAATAAATAAATAAGAAAAATGGAATAATATGAGGCTGACGTGTGGCTCACGCCTGCAAAGCCAGCACTTTGGGAGGCTGACATGGGTGAATCACGAGGTCAGGAGTTCAAGACCAGCCTGGCCAGCATGGTGAAAACCTGCCTCTACTACAAATACAAAAATTAACTGTGTATGGTGGCATATGCCTACAATCCCAGCTACTCAGGAGGCTGAGGAAGGAGAATAGCTTGACTCGTGGAGCTGGAGGTTGCAATGAGCCAAGATTGTGCCACTGCACTCCAGCCTGAACAACAGAACAAGACTCTCAAAAAAAAAAAAAAAAAGAAAGAAAAATGGAACGTTATCAGCACAGACTGTATATCTGATGCAGCAACTACTGCTGCATGTAACTATTTAAATTTAAATCTCAATTAATTAAAATTAAATAAAATTTTTAATTCCTCAGTCACACTGGCCACATTTCAAATGCTCAAACGCTACGTGTCTAGTGGCTACCATGCAAGACAGTAAAAATTTAGAACATTTCCATGACTGTGGAAAAGTTCCATTGGACTGTGTGGGGTAGTGTTTGTATAGCTTATACCGATAGCACAAGCAAAGAACCTAATGCACTGATGACAGATAATAAATGGTAGTTTTTAGTATTACCTGTTAAATAGTATAAAATAATACCCATTTCATAGAGGTTTATTCAAGGATTAGATAAGATATGTAAAGTATTATCAGAGATAATGAATATGTACTTGTTCCTCTGATAATGTGAAAAATGAATTACCTGTTTTACAAGTTCACAAAATGTTAAGTCTTCAGATCTGCTCATACCTGCACCTTTTGTAAATCCTAATATCCACACACAAAGAAAATAAGAAGTTTTTCTCTCAATCCACATAATTTAAAACATGTACAGTTTTAAGTCAACACACTGATATTGTTCATGGGCAGAATACTAGGCTATAGCATTGTTAACAGGTTAATTTTCTTTAAAGAGTTGACAACTGAGTTTTTTTAAATGATGTTGTACCATGTTAAATAATGTTTTAATTCCAGGATATCAATTTTCGTGTGCATTCTCACATCCAACACCTTCACTAGCTTAAAAAGGATAGAAGAAAAAATATTGAGTCTTCTCCTCTAGAGAGACAAAATGAGGAAAAAAAAATAACTTTATTATTAAGCCAAATAAAGCAGTTGCAAGTCCATGTGATGTAAGGTAAAGAACACAGCTGTGAAGTGACATTTATCTAAATGTAAGTCCTACCTTTACTACTGACCAACTGTATGATTTTAGGCAACTTACTTAGCTTCTGAGTTACAGTATTCAAAGAGTTGTTCTTTGGAGTGGAACAGAATAAGCACACACTATAATAATGACAGCTGATTTATTAATTCTGTAGTCATAAAGCCACAGGTATGAATGTGGCTCTATTCATACATAGAGCCACAGCCTCTATGTATGAATTTTTTCTATGTATGAATTGTCTTGGATTTGTATCTCCTTAGGCTTTCAGAGTCTTACTTGTTTAAACTGACAATTTATAGAAGCAGGGCTTGAAATGGTTTACCAGTTTGCGAATGACAACTAAGGAATTTAAATGCATGGACTAGGTGAGGAAGACTAATTGTCAGTGTGTTTTTGCCTTTGAAAGCTGCAAGCATTGCTGAGTAATTGCCAACCAAACAAAATTAAATTGTAACGATTCATAATTCAGAATACCTTTAAAAATAATTGAGAGTATACAGGAATAAATTTCCCTGGGCAGTAAGAACGTTTAATAAAAATGTTCTTGCAGGCCAGGCGCGGTGGCTCACACCTGTAATCCTAGCACTTTGGGAGGCCAAGGCCGGCAGATCATGAGATCAGGAGATGGAGACCATCCAGGCCAACATGGCAAAACCCCGTCCCTAGTAAAGATACAAAAATTAGCTGGGTGTGGTGGCGTCCACCTGTAATCCCAGCTACTTGGGAGGCTGAGACAGGAGAATCACTTGAACCCAGGAGGTGGAGGTTGCAGTGAGCTGAGATCGCTCCACTGCACTCCTGCCTGGCAACAGAGCGAGACTCGTCTCAATCAATCAACCATGTTCTTGAATCGGTAGCCTATCTTCTCTGCTTTTTGTGAAGTTACATGAATCAAATCAAAGCTGTGATTACAATTTTTTTTTTTTTGCAAATACTTAAATGCCTTTGGTAATCAAATGAATTCCTCATGCTGTCTTCACCAAGTGGTGAATGCTAAGAAATAAGAAAGTAAAGTCTGCATGTTCTAAGCGATCAGTCAGAAAGCCCTAAGCTTCTTTTAGAGGTGCATAGAACCATCAGGCTCAGAATAAAATCTAATTTAAAAATACTTACTTTTCTAAACGCTAACTTGACCTCATGACAAATGTAATATTCTCCTAATGGTTAAATTTTAAAGAGTCTAGAAAATTAAGTAATGTCTTTATAAGATGCGTCAATTGTTACATTAAGAGAAATGAGGACAATCTGTTAACGCAGTGCAAAACAGAGTTGCATTTGGTTACTGATTTATAAATTACAATTTGGGAGAACTGGAAAGATTATTTCTACGGTGTTTCTGTGTTTTTCAGATGTATCCTAATACAAAGCACGGATGTGAAGATACCCAAGACCAGCAGTTTCCTTTCTGTATGGGACCCACCCACTGTGATACAATTGAGTGTAGAAAACCGAGCTTCGTGTAAACACACAAGGCCACCAGGGATCATAATTTCAAACCCTCCCCTCCCCCTCGATCCTTCCAGCCACCAAGGTATCTGAGCCCAGAACTAACAACAGGACCGTGTACTCAACCGTAGCTTTTGTGGGACTGGAGTGAAGATTCTTGGTAATCCTCTCCAATAAAACCAGAGGAATTAATTAGACTGCTGATTTTTTTCCAGAGGCGCAAAGCACTAGGCCGTTTGAGGATCTCCGCTCCGCTTTGCCTAGGACCAGGAAAAGACGCGAGAGTCGGAACTTGGCACCAGGCACTGCCTGGGGTAGGAGGAGAGTAGGGGAGACCAAGGAAGCGGACAGAAAGGTGGAGCACGGAGAGCTGAGCCCACTGCACTCATCCCCGACCCCGGATCCCCTGGAGCCCACCCGCAGCTCCCGCCCGGACCAGCCCCTCTCTGGTACCTGGCACAAGGTACCCTCCGGAGGCAACGAGAGCCAGCACGAGACTCGCGCGGCCGCCACGCGGGTGAGGGGCTCCAGGCTGCGCCCACTTCCCCGACCTGCCAGATCCAACCCTCTGACGCACCCTTCTAGAGGGAGCGGCTCCAGGTGCTGGTGCCCATCCCTTCTCCCCTGCTTCGGCTTACCTTACCAGACCGACCTGCGCTGGCAGCTAGAGCCGAAGCCCGCCGGCTATGAAACAGGGCGGAGCTGTGGGGCGCGCTCCGGAGCAGACCGGTCGGCCCCCGGGGCGCGCTCACGGCCTGGAGGAGCGCGCCTTCGGCGCCGCTCGTTCAGACCCTGTCACCCTTTACGGCAATCGCGAAAGTGTCGTGAACGCGCTGCTGCCGATCAGTCACCCAGTCGGCTGGAGTCGGAGGCGTTATTTCTAGGGGTGTGCTTGTTGGGGTCGGGGTAAGGCTGCCGGGCGCGGTCACCGGGTGTGAAGGATTTGAAGGACTTTGTGGGGGCCACTTCTCCCAGGAGGAGTGGAGAGAGGACTGGATGCTCTGGGGCGGATCTTTAGGATATAGCTGTGTATGGACTCGCGCGGGGCGAACGCCGTCCTTCCTGGCGCAGGGTGGCCTCGCGCGCGGGGTTGTGGGGAGGCGAGGGCGACTGCCCCCTTGCCCCTCTGTAGAGACGCTGGGGTGGCGGAGCGCTGTCTCCGGAGCCCGAGGGCGGTTGTGTGGGAGCCGAGGGTAGGGGTGGGAAGAACCGTGGCGGGCCAGCGCTGGGCGGGCGGAGGAGTAGGGGCGCTACCGATGCGGAACGGACCTTGCCTGTCAGGTCCACACCCTCCTGCCCGAATGCTGGCAAGTGCACACACCGTGTGGCATCCTCTGCTGGGTTTGCCTCCCCTTAGAAATGTGGTGCTGATGTTTGTGACTGGGCCTCGCTTCTGGTCAGCAACTTTTCTAGAAATTTCAGCCTGTATTGATAAGCTGTGAGATTGCTAGCTGGAGTTTATTTCAGCAGTATTCTTGCGAAGAGAGAGAACCAGAAGAGTTGCTGGTGTTTGACGGTATTCCCAGAAACACTGGATGAATGGGATCTTTATATTTAGCCATGTTTAACTTGTTTTCCTCAATACAGTGCTTGGCCTTTTGGTGTCATTTTTGCCCTTTTGCATCATTAGTATTGAATATGTAAGTTTGCTTGAAGTCTTTTAGTTCATCAGTAAATCCAGTGTATAGGCAAATTCCTAGTTGTCTTTCAACAAATATTAGTGTTTTGTTTTGTATGTGGGCAAAGAATAAAGATTCATTTCCTACTCCAACTGGTAGGAATATGTCCAATACATAGATGTTGAGTTGAACGACTTAGAACACAAGTTAGACTTTGGTAAGGACATTTGGAGCGTTACTAATTTAGATCCATTGCCATTTACATAAAATTCGAGTTGAGGTTCTAAAAGCATTTGGTTGCATATTCGTTTTATGCTGAGAAAAGCTAAAGCCCCTTGCACAACTTGTTTTTCTTTTTCTTTTTCTTTTCTTTCTTTTCTCTTTCTTTTTTTGCATAACAGTAACAGCAGCTGCACCACTTGTTTTTACAACACATCTGTTTAAGAAATAAATTAGATAAATCTGCCTTTATTAACACCAACCACATTTTATCAGACGGTCAATTTCTTTGTTTTCTAGGCTGCGGATTTGTTTTTTAAGCTGGCTCAAGGTGCTGATATTCTTTTTGAGGGTCATGCTGTGCTATTTTTTAAGGGACTAGAAAAATCTATAGAATGCCAAGCTCTTGCTGATTTTTGGAGTGTGTGTGTGTGTGCTTGCTTTTAAGGGGGAAGAAAGTTATTTCCTCTTTTAAGGAGCGCAAGATTTATTTTACTTAAGGAAAACGTTGCACAGCCCTCTTTTTGCTTCTGAGTATGCTGAAAAGGCTTTTGTTTTTGTCAACTTGCTCTGTGTGTCACTTGTTAAATAATGCTGAACTTAATCCTGTGATCCTATTAGTTTTCTTTTCTTTTTTTTTCTTCCTTTCTTTCCTTGTTCTTTATAATTTGCCCTTCCTTTCTGCTAGTGTAGCCATGACTATTTTTCTTTAGGTAGCCAGTTACCTGTGAAAAGACTGTAAACATACTGCTGAATCAGTGCAGATGAAAACTTGGCACCCCTAGACCTGGTAGGGTTGGAAATTCTGGAATTTCACACAACAGGTTGGATATTGGGTAAGCTTACCCTATGCACTGCTCAGCAGTTAGAGGTTTTTTTTTTTTTTAATGTGATATTTGTCAGACTTTCCCCATGCTGAAGTCCACACAGGAATAAGGTAGGCAGTATCCCATTATCCTCAGCTGATATAAACGAGCTGTTTTGCATGATAGACTTTTAAAATAAAGGTATTAGTTAAATATTTCTGATTATACTTTGGTACCTTTGTTGGATTTTCCGTGTAAATAGTTAAGTTTGCACAAAGAGAATTTTTTGTCTGACCATATGTGTTCTCCTTTGGACTTACAAAACAGTTTGTTGACTGCATTCATAACTTAGCTGTTTATGAGACCCCGCCCTCCCCCTTTTGAGCTTCTTAAAGATATGGAATGGTATGTTTCAGTCTTTCCGTTTTCTCGGAGTCTAGAACAACTAAGTGTTCATTAAATGCTAGATGAATAAGATTTGTTGATTGTTCATAAAGTACTAATTACCTACTAGCAGGGTGTGGTGGCACATGCCCGTATTTGAAGCTGCTCTGTGGCTGAAACACAAGAATCTCTTGAACCCAGGAAGAGGAGGTTGCAGCGAGCCGAGATCACACTACTGCACTCCAGCCTGGGCGACAGAGTGAGAGCTTATCTCAAAAAATTAAAATGAGTATTGATTGTCTACTTAGTGCTAAGTATGGTATGAGCTTGTGGAAAAGAATGTTAACAAGACAGGCTTTGCCTGTGTACTTGTAGAGTAGACAGAACTTGTGGGGGAAAGACTGAAAAAAAAAATCAAAAAAGTTCAAAGTGTGATAAGTGCTCTGAAGGGAGCAGAGCACTAGAGCCAGATTTTAACAGAGTAGGAAAGTTTACTGATTACAAGTGACAAGGCTGCAATAGCTATAGGACTGTGACAGTATTATGAACTGACTTGCAGCTTTACAGCTGCTGGAAATTTTCTACAGTTTAAAATATTCACTTTTATGATTATGATGTATGAAAACATATCCTCAGGTTAACAAATAATTTTGGCTGTGTTCTAAAGTAATACGTTTCTTTATAATCAGTTGCTCTCCATTACATCCAAGTAAAATCACAACTCTGCATAAATTCTTTAAACTTCATTTTATCCCATCCTCCCATCTGATTTACTCCTGTCCATCCATAGTGATCTCTCTTGTACCTGAGCAAGACAAACTCTTTACTGTCTCAGGGCATGTACCATTTTCTGGGATTATTCTTCCTCCTGCTCTCCGGAAATGTCTGGCTCCTTCTTTACCTCTGAGCCTGGTATAAAAGCTACTTCTTGAAGACTTCACCCTATTTAAAATGTGTACCCCCAGCTGTTTTCTAGCTCAGCACTTTATTTTCCTCTCTGTGCCTATCACAGTATATAATTTTATTTGCTCGTTTATAGTTTTTATTTATTTTCCCACTGGACATAGAAGTTGGGATCATGTCTACCTCATTCACATCCTTCAAATGTTGGCTGAATGCATTTGAAACTTGTAATCATGTAGTTTTCTCATAAAAACTATTGAGAGTGGTGGCTGGGTTTCTAGGCTAGCCAGCAATAATTTTAATTTCCTACTTTTTTCTTTTTGTTACTTGTACTGTGGTAAGAAAAGGACATTTTCTGCTCATCCTTTTGGGCATAGGCCTGCCTGCATGTAAAAATTTCAGGTAGATAACATAACTTTTGGGTTTTGTTTGTTTGTTTGTTTGTTTGTTTGTTTGTTTGTTTTTGAGACACATTTTGCTCTGTTGCCCCGGCTGGAGTACAGTTGCGTGATCATGGCTCACTGCAGCCTCAAGCCCCTGGGTTCAAGCAGTCCTCCCAACTCAGCCTCCCGAGTAGATAAGACTACAGGCACAGGCTAGCATGCCAAGCTAATTTTTTTTTTTGTATTTTTTATTTTATTTTTTTTGTATAGACATGGTTTTGCCTTGTTTCCCAGGCTGATCTTAAACTCCTGAGCTCAGGTGATCCACCTGCCTCAGCCTCCCAAAGTGCTTGGATTACTGGCAGTGAGCCACTGCTCCCAATGTAGAATAATTTTTTTAATATTCTACCTCCTTTCCATATTCCCACCCCACATCCATGTTTCCTTTCTTTCCCTATTGTCCTGATCTTCCTACTGTAGCCACCTGCCCTATGTGGCTCCATATGCTTGCTTTTCATTTGCTAAAATTCAGAAATTTCTATTTTTTTCTGTGATGGTTTTCATGGCCATAGTCCCTGGATCTCAGATGTGAGGGTAGGAAGAGTGGAGATGAGCCTGTGGCAGTGACTGCAACCTCTGCATCTATGTACATGTGTTGAAAGTAAAGAAGCCACCTGTAGGTCAGAGACTACATGTATCTGAATTTATATTTGCAGTGTTGTTGCTAATAGCTTCACAGATACAATGTTGCTGCAGTGTTGGCAAAGAAAACCTTCAAAAACTCATTGCCTCTTTTCAGGTATGAATTTATTCAATGGCTAGAATAGATCTGGAAGGGTTTAATAAAATGTAGATTTTTATAAAAGAGAAATAGAAGGTTAAATAAAAATCTAGGTCACAGAGGGGAAAAACTGGGAGGGAAAGTATCAGTTTATCAACTAGTCCTGCCAAATGCTCAAACTTAAAACCATTAAGATCAGTTGCTTATAGCTATTTAGTGCCAAAAGCAGGCTAGCACTCATTTTTTTTTCTTTTTTTTACAGTAAGAGGATGGAACCCTGCAACAGTAAAATACAAATGGAATTGACTAGATTTTTAATTACCATTTCAAGCGGAATTCCATAAGAGCTGACTATCACTTACCAATAACAAAAATATATCATTATTTGACTGTAGAAAATTTGGCTATGATGAAGCTGCTGAGTTTATTGGTGGTTAATGGGCTCTCGTTTGATATAAAGTGATCTTATTACTTTAAAACAGTTTTATTGAGTAACTTTGTTATACAATTGTGTGGAAGAATTCCTCAAAATATAAGGAATTAGCTTTGTTCTCCTTGATTTGAAATATCAATATATGTATATATATTGATATATTGAGACAGAGTCTTGCTTGGGCTGGAGTGCAGTGGTGCAATCTCGGCTCACTGCAACTTCCGCCTCCTGGGGTCAAGCAATTCTC